TACCAATGAAGTTTTTTAAAAGCAAAGGTGGGAAAATAGAAGCTGGTTTTAGGTCTTTGTGTCAATGAAAAGACTGAAAAGACTATTTAGAATGGCTCAAGATTCTTTTCTTCTGACAAGTATACTATTTAAAAATTGTTATTGCTGGAAAGTTGTTTTTACATTTAGCCACTCGAAACAAGGCATCATTAGCTTCCTAATTGTGGCAGCACTTTCCCAGGACTGAAATATATGGAATTTGTATTTGTTTCCCAATTACCCTGCTACCAATCAGAATACCTTAATTCTTGTTTGTCAGAGCAAAGGTTTCTAATTTACCTGTGAAGACAGCATCTTTAAAATGCTGTAAATATTATTGTACGAACTACTTAGAAAAATGGAGTATTAATGCTAAATAACGCCAACAGATTGATTCTTCCACCAACCTCTACAAGATGAGCATCTGTTAGGCAGATACTAACCTTTTTCTCCAATTCTCATGGAATAAACAAAAAATGGTATCCTTAATACTGAACATTTAAAGCCTATTTTCTGTAACCAAACAGGTTACAGTTTAGCGATACCAGCGGTAGGGGAAAAAAAATATTTCAAAATTTGTTGATGAGATTTCCACATTACGAAGCTTGAAATAGAAACTTTCATCACATGGGTGATCATAATCTGATTTTTAAAGACTTTCCATATTAAAGTCGTTGGCATTAGCTTAGAGCGAAGAATTGTTAACTGGTGGATTTCTTCTTAAAAACCTCTCTTAGACATTTATTCCTTGATGAACTTGTATTTGTTCACCATAAAAATAAACCAAATACTTTTGTATCTCTGATCCTGATGGCAGTGTCTAGACATATAGCAAGCTGAAATTTTTCAACATTTTAATAATGTAGAACAGATGGAAGTATTTATACACATTGAACATTTTTTGGAAAATATCTGTAATCCTGTTAAGAAAGAAGCTGCAAAAGTTTCATTATAATAGACCTTCTTCATCCCAGGGAAAAAAAATTCACAAAAACATAAAAACCAACTCATCTTTGAGGAAATGCCTTCCTCCTATATTATCATTAACAATCTACATGGTAAACATAAAAATTCCTAGGACATCCTTTAACAAGGTACAGATTTGTTTTTTCTTTTTCTAAATGAACTGTCCCTACTACTGTTAAGAGATTGAATTGTGTCCCCCAAAAATATGTGTTGAAGTCTTAACCCCTGTACCTGTAAATATGATCCTGTTTGGAAATACAGGTTTTCTTGTGTTATGTTAGCGGGTTCTTAACGGAGCAGGTGGATCCTAAACCTAATCACTTCTAAGTAGTGTCTTATAAAAAGAGCGGAATAGACGCAGTGACACACAAGACACCACGTGAGGGATGTCTACAAGTAAACACAAAGGACTGCTGGCAGTCATCAGAAATTAGGAGAAGCCCATAGAAGGAATCAACACGGCTGAGACCCTGATTGGGACTTTCAGCCTCCAGAATTGTGAGGAAATACATTTCTGTTCTTTAAAGTCCCCTACTTACAGTGTTTTGTTATGGCAGCATTGGGAAACTAAGAATTGCAAACCAAGACAACTACTTATTACCTATATACATACATATTTTTTATTATCCTCTATTACCATTAACTATTTCATATAGTATATATTACATATGTGTGTTTGTGTGGGTGTAGACACACACACATACACATTCATTTTTGGAAAATAACTAAACAATTTATTTCTCTTCTTTAAAATAAATTTAACACCCTTTGAAAATTAAGATAAAAGCCCTCTAATAAAATCTTATCTTAAAACAAAGTATACATCAAATCAAATTTGAACACTGTACAAATTTTTCTGCTTTTTAAAAATCTACAGTGATTATTCACTTATACCCCAGAAAACAGAAGAGAGGCTAAGTAGGACAGGCTATATAGTACATTGTCATGTTGAGCTACACTTCGGTTATCCAGTCACTAGATGTACTAACTTGCTGACTATCTTCCCCTTGTCCACCCTTTACTTTTCTGAGAAGGGCAAAGCATCCTTGAAGACCTATTGCTATTTTCATGACCAGGGACTTTCATGGTTATGGAAAACCTAAAAGACAGAGACAGCCCACAAAATAACAGTCATTTCAAACCGGAGAAATTGCATTTTTTTCCTCATTTATTCAAATTCACTGCAGGAAGTAAACACTAAAAGATTAAAAAACAAAACAAAAAAAATTCACACTGTAGTATGTACAGTTTCATGACATCACATGAAGAAATTAAATTTCTAATAAAACTGACATATTACTGAGCACATCGCATCAAAATTGGTTGTGTAAACCCCAGAATTCATACCATGAGTGGTAATGTGCCTGCATTCCAGATTCTGCTAACACTGGAATACTCCTCGTATAATATTATGTTCCTGATGGGATTAAAAAATTCATGGAAGTAGTTGTATGAATTCTTTATGTTGAAAAGTGGTTGGCTTGATTTTAAAAAATTTTAAGACCCTTGGATTCAAAGCACATTCTTTCACAAAGCTTAAACCACAGAAGTCATGTCCAGAAATGGAATACTGTCATGTTGGGATGAACATCTCATCTGACTTGTTAAGACATTATGCCAAATGCACAGATGCACAGGGTCCCCCATGCACTTTTCATGCAGCAGGTAATCACAACTTAAATAAAAGGTTTATTCTATACATTTGTCCAGACTTGCAACTGTATACATACATGCACAATTTTTAAACCTGTCTGATTATATTTACACTTATACATGGAATATACAGAAACCAAAGAGATTAAAAGGCTTTTCTGTTGCATTAGAACAATACAAAATAAGTATTTTTCATCAAGGAAATCACTATTTACATCACCTTTAAAAACCAATTTTAACATCTTCATGTAACAAGTCCATATATATATACATATTATATATATATATATATAATATAAAATCTCACCAGTTTACTCTTCTGTAAGATACAGTAGAGAATAAACAGGTAATGCTACCTTACTGATGTCAATGAGAGCTGTAGTACCCTTTCACAAATGACTTTATTAGGAAAAAATTGTCTACATATCTAAAACAGTCCCCGGAAATGTGTGTATGTGCATCCTTGTATCTACATATGCATAAACAAAGTGAATTTGTGGATGTATATTCTTGTAATTGCTCTTCCTTAAAATCACCCTCAACTCCAAGTGGAGGCATTCCCTAGTAAATCAGAACAGCATTCTTTGTGGTCATAATTATTTAGGTATTACGTATTTTCATTCCTTTCATTGTTAACAACAAAACCAACCAACCAAACAACAAAAATACCATGCTATTTCCTCACCTAAATTTCACTTCCTTGTAAAAGCCCATTTTCCCCTAATCAAGGGAGGATATCAACTTTTTTTAAAAAAAATACCTCTAAGGCTCCAGACCTTTCAAATGGCAGGGGGAAAAAATGACTTGTTTAAGAGCTTACTTATATAGTGTAGACAACAAGATTGTTGCAGAGTAAATATGGGATGGAGTACAATATATTCACTGGCCTGTAGAATTTTCATTTCAGAATAAGTATATGCCTTCATCTCTCCATGATGTAGCATATTCACTCCTGAAAATTATATCCAGTAACTATTTACAAATCACTTTGAGAAAAAAATAACCATTTAGGGTTTTTAGATATTAGGAAATAACAACCATTTTTAATATAAAAATCTTAGAAACAACTTCAAGTAGAACAACTTCAAATAGGTTTCTTTCTAATTAACAGCTGATTATATAATTTTTGCTATGTCAGTTGCTAACCTGGTTCACGGTTAAAAACAAAAATAGAATTTGGTGAACGGATTGTGGATTGTAAAAACTGAACTTGAAAACATGGACTTGTTTCAAGATTAGAACCCCATGTGGCTCAATAATATATATACTAAGTTCTTCTAAAACAATGTCAATGTTTACTCTTAATCAGGATTTTAAAATAATAAATCCAATGGAATGGTTGTGTACAATTCTGTCGTGCATATGTGCCCTTTCTACTTTTTGTTGAGTCACTCTAAGTGCAGTGCCTTTCTTGGGTTTGAACAAAATGTTTTCATATTTGTCAGCATTGTTTTTAGGACAACGGTTTTTAACAGAAGTTAAGGATGTATTCAGAAGTTTCCAAACCATCCTAATCACCTGAGTTTGGTAAGTGGCCCTGTAATTCCATCCCTAAGGCTAATTAAGTAGATGTTACTCATTAGAACGCGTATTTTCCTGAGATGTTGAGCCAGATGTGAAAGGTATCCCATCCACTCAGTTTTTTGTCATAAAAAGTATTGTGAACCCGACTTCCAAAGACACAACGGTAACATATGAACTACAATACTGCAAATTTTGAGTTGATGTGTGACTGTGTTGGAGAAAATGTAAGCATCAAATAGTGTTTTTTTTTAGTCCTAATCTATGTTCTGAGAAAAGTCATAAGCAATGATTCTCAAACTTCAGTTTGCAGAAGAAACACCTAGGGAGCGCGGTAAGATGCAAGCGGGAAGATTCCCAGGTCTACTAAGCAGAGATTCTCGTTCTGTACCTCTGAGATGCTGCCTAGGAACCCACATTTTCAAACAGGCGCTCCAGATAATTCTAATGCAGGTGGTCTGAGTCTAGCTTTAAGAAACCCTGGTCCTAAGACTCACAGGGACCACAGGAATGGTGAGAATTAAATTTTACAAGAGATGGTGAAAACTGTCTAAGGAAAAGCCTTTTTGTTTCTGGTAAAAACAATTTTGTAAATATTCAACTACTCAGGAAACCAGCTGAAGACAAATTTTAACTTTCCTAATTCTGTAAAAGAGGAGTACTAACTTAGTAAAGTAGTCAAAATACAAAAATGCAAATCTGCCTTTTCTTTTTTGAAGAATCTATCAAACCTCCTTCAACTGTAATCAATTTTTACTAAGTAGTACAAGGTTTAAAGAAATGTCTCGAAAAGGACTGGGATGGGGTGGAGACGTCGGGAACCACAAAACCCCCTTCGAGAGTTAAAAATAATTTTTTTTTTTTTTTTTTAGCAAAAGTGAAAAAATGGAAGCATTTTTTCCCTAATTTAGTACTGAATTGGATATGAAAGTGAATCAGCACTAGGTTTTTTATTTAGTAATTATCGCTTATAGTTATTTGTTTGGACTTCAAAAAAAAAAAAAAAAAGTGAACTGACTGCCAAAGTGCAAAATAAAGTACCCTAACAAAGGGACGGGATGAAAGGCAGCAAAATGCAGTGATCCACTATGGATGGAGTTACATTTTAATTTATGTCCATTATCTATGATTATAACATAATTTCATTCATAGGCTACTCACAGTTGTTGTCTGATGCATACAGAAGTGTTAAAACAACCAACTGCTAGTTCAGTAGTTTCCTCATGACATCTAATGTAAAGCAAAAAAGTAGTATGCCTATTTAAACATCACCAATAACCAATACTTTTCAAAATAAAAAGATTCAATTATACCATGCTTTTCTCAAATCATGCTCTTATTTATACAGATCTCAAGTTCATACTAATTAGTTTTAAAAAGATCCAAAGCTGGATAGCAGGTACATTTTATTCTGATTCTTGTTTTATTGTTAGCACGTTTCCCAGAAGTCCACAAACTACTTCTCCATTTGCGCTCTGTGGGCAAGAAGCATTATTTCCCCTATGGCTATTGTAAGGGCTTCTTAAATTAAAGAAAGAAGCTTTAGTGTCTGCAACAGGAAGTAACTCTTCTTGGACAGTAACCTGTGAGACACATTCGGCACATGAAGGTCCCCTCCAAACGTCCTTGTCCTGTGTTTCTCGACTGGTAACAGAATTGCCTACTTTTTGGAGCATGTAATACAGTATTAGGTTAGTTTTGGTCAGTCTTGGGGAGTCCTTTTCATATTCATTCTTATCCACATCTGTGATAACCCACTATATGGGCCCCTTCTCACTGGGCACCGAACAACCATTCAAAAGCCCAGATTCTGGTCTCGACCCTGCACAGCCTAAATGCTCAGGGAAAGGAGGACTCACAGGAGTCTTTACAACCCCTGGATATGAGAACGTCCTGTTATCTATGCAGCTGTTGGGCGGAGTGGAATTGTACATCAGTCCATTTAAAGAGGAAATGCTGAATTCAGGTTTGCTACTTGTCACATTATTTTTGTGTCCTTTCTTTTTACTGTCAACCACAGAGTTACTCCTGTGTTGAGACAAATCTCTCACACAGTTTTCTGAGAGAAGCAGCTGCTTCAGAACATTGAAGCTTTTGCTGTCTCTGGTCCAACTCCTCTGTTCACTTTCATTGGCTGAGCCATGACCTGTGGGATATTTAAATTCAAGATCACTTCTGCTGAATTTCAGCTCCTGCTGGTTAAGCAAGGACCCATACAGGACCTCTGGAGCACTGTGATTGTTTGCAGCATCAACAATGTTAGTTTTCGTCTTTTTAAATGGATTTTCTAAAGGCTCAGTATAAAGCTTCCTTTTCTTAGGGACCATGCAAAGATTCTTGGATTCTACAAGTGTCCGTTCACTGTTTCTGTGACTCTTGCCCAGCTCATCTGTCAGGTAACTCTCTTGATTTTGCCTCAGCAATCGGCTTAACAGACCATTCTTTGAGAAAGAAAAATCCTGAGGTGAAGCGAGCTCTGACTTAAAGTCCTCAGAGGCTGGTAAGGCAGCCGTGCTTCTCTGCGTGGCAGGAGCCATGCCTAAGAATGGGCCACCCTTCACGTCGTGGCTCAAGTGCACATTTGTATTATGACTATGTAAGTCATCACAAGGCTCAGATTTTATTTTCACCATCAATATTTGTTCACTTAAAGCTCTATCTGTGTGTTCCTGAGTACTTTCATCTCTTAAAGGAATTTTCTCTTTCTTTTCACTCTTGCCTTTGTTGGGGTTCCCCAGGAGCAACTGGAGGACGGTACGTCTTTCAAGCAGATTTTCTATTTCAGAACCACAGAGTCCTGGTTCAGGAGCTGCTGGCTGACTACTGAATGCTTTATTTTCTTCAACTGCATTCGTTTTATTTGAGAGCCGAGGACTACTTAATCTATCGATCATACCTATGGGCTGATCTGCTTTTACAGTTAACAGTTGTTTACTGGGTCTCTGCTCTTCTACCGACATGGAAGACTGCATCCCACACTGTGCCAAATTTTGTAACAGCTTACTGGCACTGAAAGTTGCAGAGTTTTGTGCACCTTCATTTTGGACCGGTTTCTCTGCTTGAGATTCTTTGTTTTTTGTAAGGTCTATCAAGTGGTTAGAGGCAGTATTCATTAGCTTCTCAGACTGAGTATTGCAGGCATAGGGTGGAGAATTCCACTTGATGACCAGAGATTGCTGAGAAAGATTGATGGGGGACTCTGCTTTGGTTGGCGTAAGTAATGGTGGAGTGCTCAGTGGAGTAGTAGTCCTATTCGTACTGGGGCTTTCTATTACAGAAGTCCTCGTATAACTTTGTGAACTGAACTTTGTCACATCACTGTGTACTCCCTGAGAGCTGGTGTTTTTTTCCACACTTTCCTCATTCTTATGGCCCAGTAGCAACTGAAGAAGTGTTACTTTCTGGTGTGAATTTAGTTTAGAATTCTTTGAGGTATCTTGATCTTCTTTGATATCTACGTCTGGGACTTTTGGATCCCAAGTGTTTAGCAAGGATTCAGTTAAGTTATCCAGAGAAACGGGTTGGTCAGATTCTGGCTTTTCGATTCGATGTTTACAAGACAGGTCTATGGGAACACAGTTGGAATAAGAACTTTCATCACCACTGCTATCATCTGTAAAACTAGGATTGTTATCAGAATATTCATCGATAGTGGTAGGTGTACTGCTGTCCTCAAAAATGCCTCCTCTCTCACTATGATTGTGTCCTGTCATTGGCTTAGGTATGGTCTGGCTCTTAAGAAGATGTAAAAGCAAACTATTACTAGCAGCTTGTTTTACACTGTTTCTCTCCAGTGAGTTCTTATAGCCTGAATTTTGGGGGGAAGAAGGGACAATACCCATTGGACTCTGAAATGTTGTAGCACTACTTTTGCTGGCGACTGGTTTGCTTGACGATGTTCTTGCCTGGTCATTAAGATGGCCTGACACTCCTTTTGAGAGCTGGAAACTGCTAGCATCCTTCTGGCCGTTTTCCTGTAATCTAGCCATCGCCGCAAGTCTTTCACTTGCCACTTGATTTGCATTTTGTGTTTTTAAAGCATGCTCCCGAGAATACTGCTGCAAATGGGCTTCACTTGATAGGAGTAATGCTAACTGGCTACAAGCAACACTAGGTTTAGGCGAAGTGGCAGGGCTAGCCCTTTTCTCTACCATGCTTGCAACAGCCTGTAATCTTGCAGCACATGACAAGGGTTCACTCATGACCTTTGTTCCACTCTGTCCAACAGGATGAGGTGACTCTACAAACCTATCTCTGATGAGGTTTTTACTCACGTCAGGAAGATTGGTATCAGGCTTTTGATCTTTAGCTTTACTTTTCTTCAACAAAGTTTTTAAGTGACTTGATGCAACGCCATAGCACCTTAAATCTTTCTCCACTTTTAGAGAGTCATGACTGAGAGCATACCCTTGCTCCTTAAGGCTCTGCCTAATTTGTTGCGACAGAGCAACAGTCTGCAGCCTAGAGCTGAATGACTGAAGCAAAGAGGCCAGTAATGTGCTATCCTGTTTGCCTTTAGGCACATTGTCAACCATGCCAGCTAGCAAAGCCTCCTTCTTTACGTTTAAATTTACGATGGAATCAGACAGCCTCTTCCGCTTCGCTGCATTCCAGTCCTCAGAAGATTGCAAGAGTCTGGCCTTTTTGAGATGTAGCATGCCAGATCCCTGATATGTATGCGTATTGCGAACTGGACCATTACTCTGACAGGCAGGTAAAACACTGCCAGAAATGTTAAAGTTCTGATCTTCTTCATCAGGCCCAGCAGACTTTTTGTCGACCGCAGTACCTGATCCCCCAGCTGCCTGATGCATTAGTAATCCTTCTAGGTAAGTTAAAACAATAGAATCCTGGTGCACATCAGAGCCAAGCTCTTCTCCATGAGTCATGTTCAATAGAAGTATTCACAAGGGCTTGGCTTCTATTCACTTTAAAGAATGGTTTTCTGTGGGTGAGTGAGCGTAACTTTAACAAGTGAGTGTCAGTTTATCACCTTCCATAGCAAATAGACAGAGATCTACTGTTACATTCCGACTGGGATTTCTTCTGGCAATGACCAGATAAAGGGTAGGCAAACTCCAATGCAGTCTGACCGAAGAGCTGATCAACTCCTAAGCAGAAGAATTCCTTAACACAAGGGTCCGTAGCAGCAAGATGTAATCTTTAGTGAATATACTGCTTTTCCTTCTTCATCTTTTGCTCTCCATTAAATGCAAGTATCAACGTTCTAAAAATAAAATAAAATAAAAACAGTTAAGGAGGTGCCAAACCAGGATCATACCACGATACCTATAAGCAAAAGAATATAGCGTTTCCACGTTTTGTAATTTACTTCATTAAATTGGAAATCTCTACCAGAAACCTTATGGGTTAATCCACGTTGTTATAATAATCGACTCAATTAAAGAAAAAATAATTTAATATTCTGTAACTCTGTCTTGTAGAGCCCTACTTTTTTTTTGAGTTTCAATAAGCACCCTTTTGCAAAGTTATGTGAATGCCAAGTCTCCTTTATAACTCTACAGGGATGTTAGACTTTGGTTCCTTATTATACTACTGGGCAATTAGGAAGAAACAAAAGTAGATGTGCAGAAAAAGGAAAAGAGAAACACATGACATGGTCTGTGATGGTAGGGCTGAGGTCTACAGAACAAATTCACTTTTGACATCATCCGCAAACATTAGACATTCCAATGTTAAAACTAAGCAATGTGTAGAATTTCTGTTTTCATAGAAACAGAAAAGCACTAACAAGTTTAAGATTGTTGTGTGGGCTCTGCAAAGCGTAATTTTATGGACTTAGTCATGTTCATAAACATTCAAATATAATTACAAGCCTACTCACCCATTGTTTTTACAATGATTTATTAAAGACAGAAGAGGGTGGTTCTTTATATGCTCATTCAAGCTTATATGACTTGTTTTTGTTTTTAAATCCTTACATCTCTGTATTTTACTAATGTACTCTATGTAGTAATTTTAATGGGAAGTTCATTCCTTGCAGATACAGAAAACTTTGAATGTGAAGTACAATGAGAAATACCTTTTGTTAGTCAGAATTTACAGAATATTCCACTGATATTTATTATTTAAGAAGAAACCAGTTTCCCACTACCAATACATATACAACTGAAGAAGCAAGAACTCACTGCAATTCTGATAACTTGTTAGACAGGATTTTGTCAGATTTGTCCTAAAGAAAGAAGCCAGTGCACCCACTGAAGAGCAGACTGAATGAATTCCATGCAGTGTGTTACTCAAGGTATCACAGAATGTTGTTCAAGTTATTAGATCTCCTCCATTCTACCAAAAACTACACCTTGATTCTCATGAATTTTAAAAAGTCAATTTTAATTTAAAGATTACCCTGTAGGCTTTTAGATGAAAATGTTTACCTAGAAGTCAAACTGTAGGAAAGAATTATCTGATTGCATTAAATACTTGGATAACTGATTAAAAGGATCAAAAATTATAGCCTAAACAAAAAAGCTATAAAAAATGAGGCAGCACAGATAAAAATAAGTAAGTTCCAAGTATGTAAGGAACAGGCTGAGAAAGGACTTTTTTTGAGATTCCAAAGCCACAATTTTTAAAAGGTCTTTAAGCTTTGCCACATGAGACATCGGTGACCGAGGGGCAGAATTCTCACCTTCCATGTGGGAGCCCTGGGTTCCATTCCCAGCCAACGCGCCTCATGTGCAGCCTCCACCCATCTCTTAGTAGAGTTTAGTGTGCTGCTATGATGCTGAGCAGATTTCAGACAAAGATGGACTAGGAAGAAAGGCTCGGCAATCTCTCTCCAAAAATCAGTCAATGAAAACCCTATGGGTCACAATGGTCTGATCTGCAACAATCATGAGGATGGTGCAGGACCAGGCAGCGTTTCTCTCCCTTGTGCATGGGGTCCTCATGAGCTGGGGGTCAACTCCATGGCGGTTAATGACAACAATTAACTTTGCCATGGCACACGTGAGATGAATATTTTAAAAAACTAATAACGATAATCATAAAATGATAATTATGGCAGACCTGACAACTGCCACCCAATATTCACTCTCTTACTTTCCCTTACTAATAGAACCCCGATTTGTTTTACAGGGAGCGGGGGAAGTATCCCAGCTAAAACACTACATTTTCCCACTGGTGTATGTCTTACAACTGATTAACATATAGCTTAACTGAAGGTATTTTTGTCTTCCTTGGTGATCACAAAATCATGATGCGTTTTACAAATGACAACATCTTGGAGCTGATGAAACACAGTTTTACAATTATTTTTAAAAACTGTTAATATATAACTAATTCTCAAGTGTTAAAAATTTATCAACCATTTAAAGAGACATGTAAACCCACTATACTTCCCTTAAGACCACCACCGACCTTTTGGTGGACTAAAGAGAATCTGTTAAAATTACATCAAACAATTTGATAACTGATTTGGAGGTGGTCTTAAAAAACAAACCAAAAAATAAAAAACAAACAACAAAAAAAAAAAAAAAAAAAAAAAAAAAACTTCACAGAAAGCGGAAGAATGGAATAATGTTACTGGAGTATCTCTGGTTTATATTATTCATGTTAT